GGGGACCTCAACTTGAAGCTTGAAAGACCTTTCAGTTTGTGCTCATTGCCTCTGGTTGTGTCACTGGGCACCACTGAAAAGAGCCCGGCTCTGTCCTCTCTGCATTGTCCCTTCAAGTATTTATACACACTCATAAGAACCCCCTGAGGCTTCTCATCTCCAGGCAGATGAATGAACCCCCAGCAGATGAATGGATGTGAAACTTGGTCATGCAAGTAAGAGATATCTTCCCCTAGCTAAACCTGATCCAAGGTACAGAAAATCACTGCCTCAACAAGACATTACTCCTTTGCACAGCCTGTAGCAGAAGGAAATTCATGCAGAAATTCTCAGTCCTTTTTTTCCCACCTGGTCCCTGAGTACTCTAGTGGAAAGATCTGCAACATGGAAGATGGCATCTAGTCTACATCAAGTATTCACAGACTTCAAAACAGCTGACAGAGGCAGGTTTGACTTCAGTTCTGAGGTTCTGAGAAAAGAGCAATCTTTGCATAACACCTGCTGTGGGAAGGGGTGACAAAGCCCAGAGCCACAGTACAGAGATGGCACTGCTCCCACTGCAGAGATCTGGTTTACATGACTAAGAATGAGCCCAACCAACTACAGTGTAAGAGTCTCTGCTAGAAAGAAAAAGTGATCTTATCTCATTTCCTTCCCTCTCAGATTTCCAAGGTGTGGAACCCTGAAAGAAGCTCTTGCTTTTCTTCTTTTTATTGTTAATGAATAAAAGGTAATTTTCATATAGATACCTCAAATGAACCAATTAAATTGTGTAACCATAATGAACATATAATGCAGAACTGGCTTTCAAAGGACACCACACTAAGGCATTTTATGTGGTCTCAGTAACATGCTGGACTGATCTCCTCATTTCATTGAAAATAATTCCTTCATCCTCTTTTTCTTTTCCATTCAACTTTTGTGGTTCTTCATACATTAGAGTGTCTGACAGTACATAATGGGGGAACTGTTAGGAATTAATCTCTACATACGAACCATCACACGTCCGAAATAAAATTTAAGTCGGACTCTTTCTCAGCAGGTGGTTATAATAACTCTATGCTCAGAAGTAAAACTGAGTCCTCAAAGCTTATAAGGTTGGACTGGTTCTAATGCAGATTGAGGTACTGAGCCTTGTGGTGATTTAAAAATATACTACTATCCATGTTTCATCTGTACCACAAACTGAAATGCCTGCCATTCATAAGTGAAATTGTATACATTTACATATAAAACACAAGAGATGCAAAAATAGGGGGGAATAATGGATTAAAGGACATTAAAGATCATCCAGTTCCAACGCCCCTGCCATTGGCAGGGATACCTTCCCCTAGTTCAGGGTGCTTAAAGCCCCATCCAACCTGGCCTTGAACACTTCCAGGGAGGGGACATCCACAGCTTCTCCAGACAACCTGTTCCAGTGTCTCACTACCCATCCAGTGAAGAATCTAAATCTACCCTCTTTCAATCTGAAACCATTACCCCCTGTTCTATCCCCTGATGAAAGCTCCCTCCCCATCTTTCCTGGGGCCCCCTGTAATCAGTTCTAGAAGGCCACTATAAGGTTTTCCCAGCGCCTTATCTCCTCCAGGCTCAACCACCCTGACTCTCTCAGCCTGCCCTCTCAGAGGAGGTGCTCCAGTCCCCTGATCATCTTTGTGGCCCTCCTCTGGACCCACTTCAAGCAGCCCATGTCTTTCTTACTCTGGGGCCCCATAGCTGAGCACAGTACTGCAGCTGGGATCTCACCAGAGCTGAGCAGAGGGGGAGATGATCTCTCTCGACCTGCTGACCGTGCTTCTTTCAATACAGCCCAGGATACAATTGGCTTTGTGGGTGCAAGTGCACATAGTTGGCTCTTTTTGTTGTTTTGGGTTTTTTTTATCCATCCACCAACACCCACAAGTCCAACAGAATGAAATGTCACAGAAACTGCCCCATATATATATAACATTGCTTAACACTATTTGATGTAATAATACATGCATTTTATGGTGGTTATAGAGATTAACCTAATCCAGATTTTGTATCAAATTATGATTAAAGGCAGCATTGCTCACTTTTAGTCATCGAGGCAAGAGGTGACCACAGCAACACTCCGTGGAGCAGACAGATTGATTTGTGTCATGGGGTGGAATGCAGTGGTGCAGCCCTGCCTCCCTGGCCAGGCTGCTTTGAGAGGCTATTCGTTTTACTGTTTCATTAAATCCATTTCCATTTCTGTGGAATGGGGACTTGCAGAGCAGGGTGATATGTTTTGCTTAACGTGAACAATCAGTACAGGCCTTAGTTTCTCGTAGGCCTGAGAAAGTCCGTGAAGTGGCCTTGAAACAGGAGAATACACAAAATATTTAGAAGATAGTGGATTCTGTTGGAGGTTCTCCTGGATAAGAATGTTAAACACTGGCAAGGATAAACACAACAGTTCTATGAGTATAGAGGCTGGCAGAGCAGATGGACAGTGATTTTCACCAATCTGTGGCTCAACTCAGGCGTGTGAACAGGCTTATTAACCTGTGGGGTTCGGGGGGCTGTCTCTTGTCTACTATAAAAGGCTGTGTTACTTTGCAATAAAGGGATTTGACTGCAGACCCCTTTGGACTATGTGTCTTTTCTCTGGACCCATTCACAACATATTTCGGCCCCATCTCCTTTTCCCGATCCCCCTTCTTGGCTGGGGAGTAGTCATCAGGTGATAGAATTATAGCTGATTGCTATAGTTTAGCTCTGGGTACTGGCTCAATGTAGGCAGCTATTGAAGTAATAACAACTCACTAGTTAATACACAGAGTCCTCCAGTGGCTAGTATGTCTCTTAGTGCAGCATCAGAAGTTCAGCAAGTCAGGTTGTGGGTTCTGCACAAATATGAAGCCTGTAGGACGTTACCCACAGACTGTGTGCAGGTAACAGTGGGTTGGTAGCTGAGCTGGTAACCCAGCCTGATGAAATCCATCCTTCACTCTGAGTGTGCTGTGGCTACAGACCCAGGTCCCAGAGACTGTTGGGAAATGCAGTTCTTTGATTTCTCTATTGGGCTTTTTACAGCCTGCTACAAATCTGGAAGTCCAGTCCTGTCTGTCGTTTCTTGGCTTCCTTGGTTTGTTTCTGTTATTGTGTGCCCCGTCTCTTCCCTCTAGGGACACAACTCTCCTTGTTTAATCATCCCCCAGTTACTAGAAATCTCATCCAGCAAGTGCAAAACAGAGGTTTGAGATCCTTCTTTAACCCCCTTCTTCTGTATGTGAAGACAGTGCTCTACACACTAGGCCCTAATCAGTCTGTGGTGTTCCTGTTGATGGCAGGGCACTGTATAAAGGGGCAGAAGATGCATGGAAGAACACACGTGAAGGTCTCCATTCCAGCCCTCTTACCATGCTTGAACACTGGCAGTGTTCATGGCATGCTCATGTTCTTGACAGTGAGGAGATCTTGGTTCTAGTTTTGTTACCAAGTCTTCATGGGAAAAAATGTGCAACCTGTCCCCTCCACACGAACTCATTCAAGCTCTTGTGCTAAGGCTTAATGATTCGTCGAGTTAATTTTAAGAGAAAATAATAAGCTACATTTCTACATGCAGAGAAATAACTTTAGGGTTAAAACATGCACAGGCAGTGTTCTGAGTCAAGAAATCCAGTTTCCTAGAATTCCCAATTTCAAGGCTGCACACCAGTTCTGGATTTAGGCACCTAGTTCCTGAGATACATGCTTAGCTTTACAGTATCTGGCAGTCAAAATACTGGACAACAGGAGTTTTCTGCAGCCACACAGCTTATCTGTCAAATGAAACAAGAATTTATATACTTGATTTCAAGGCTGCACACCAGTTCTGGATTTAGGCACCTAGTTCCTGAGATACATGCTTAGCTTTACAGTATTTACAGTCTTTTGAAAATTCAGTGTATTGAGAGCCCCATACATATGAAATTGAGATAATAATTCAACAGTTAGAATAAGACAGAATAGTTCAAAAGCTATGATGTAATCTTCTGTTGCTATGATCCATATAAGAATCACAAATCATTTTAAGTTCAGGACAACATTAAGAAGATATACTTTACTCCAGTGAAGACACAGACATGTACAACTGTATATAGTAGAAAAACCAGGAGGCAAGCAGACGATTGCAAAAAAACTGCCCACCCCAAACCCCAGCAAAAATGTAAACCAAAAAAAACCCTTCCAAATTATTACTGTTTTTTATTTCATATATAGCATATAAACATGGGCAGATCCTTTCTTCACAATCTTGCCACCAATAAATAAAAGCACAGGGCAATGTTTTAATGTAAAAGTGATACCAGCATTGCAGTTTGGACTTTCTTTCCTAAGTAGAGCTCAGTGAACATTAATATCTGCCAAGAGATGGGAGCTTCCATACAACTACATAGAAGGTTTTCCTGTGCTCCTCTACATCCATTCCCTAAATTTGAAACAAATAGTACACGTAACAGACTGAGAAATTTCTGGCTGTGAAAACGTTGCTGAACACGAGTAACTTGTCCCCAGGTTCCTTGCTGCAGTTCTGTTACAAATACATGTATGTCACATGCAGACCTACAGGTAGATAGTCACACATCACACTGGAAAACAGGCTGGAAAAGATGATAACCCAGTGACATGGGATGCTATGTGCAGGGGAGGCCAAACCAGGCAGATTTAGAACAAACTGCAGGAGACTGCTTAGTTTCACCCATCATGTTTCAATCCAGACAAAATAATGCAAATGAAACTGTGCCCAGGATGTTTTTGTCCCAGTCTGACAACTCATGCAGAACTTCGCAGCTGAGATTTACATTCTCCTTGTTGCCAGAACTGCACTGCTGGTGGCACCCGACCTGTCTACTCCAGGAGTACACCTGCTATTGTCTACATGAGCTAGCAGCTCCAATTTGACTGTAGTGGAGATGGAGAATATTGATTTGTGAAAGTATGTGATCTTGCGATATGAATGAATAGATTTCTCAGCTTGACACATCTTCTTTGGATTATTTAATCTTTATTCAAAAGCAACCAGCACAGGCAGCATTGGCACAGATTTCACACAAATCAGTGTCTTGGACAGCCAAGTCTGTTAGGGAGAAAATAGAGAGTTTCAATGAGACAGCAAGAGAATTTATTGGAGAGGAGAGCCACACGTCAAGGGATTTGAACATTTATGACACTGTTTTATGAGTTTTAATGTTCCTTAAAGTTATTACCGGTATAAATAAAACTAGTTCTTGCAAAAATCTGTCTTAAAGAATGAAATCAGACCTGAATTCTCTGGATAAACAATGGGAACATCTGGAGGCAAGAGAACAATATGACATCCTGTGAGAGGATGGTGGAGATGTGGCTTGTAGAATCACAACATTCTTTATATTGGTAGTGTTTCTTCCTAAAGGGCCCAGAGTCTTGGACAGTAGATAAATGCAACGTAATAAAATGAAATAAAAACAAACAACAAGTATTGTAGCAGGCAGTTGAAGAATCGTTAGGTGTGTGTTGGACACATACTATGTCAAAGACTGATTCATCTCATTTACATCTCACACCTCTTTTAGGCTACCTGGGAAAGCACCTTCTTCTACACTGATTACGGAAAGTAATTAGACCTGCTTACAACTTATACTCAGGTTGAGCTGAGTGATATAACCCTGCTTTTCCTGTAAGCCAGGGGAGACTGTGGGCTCTCTCACTTCAAGTCATGTAAGTTAGTGTGCAGCTACTCGGAGGAGGTTTTGTCATGGTTCCAGCAGCCTGATCTGTACAGGTTACAGCTAAGCTCAGGGACACACAGCTGCTGTAGTGCAGCACTTGTTGGAGGAGTAGCAGAAAGGCAGCATGGCCTCTCTCAGCTGCTTTAGAAGTGACAGAAGAGTACTTTTGCCTCTTTGCCTACTGCTGTATGAATGTTCAAGGTTGAGAAGTGTGTTAAAAATGACAGCTATGCAATATAAGCTACTTACTCAGCCTCTCAAAAATCATGGATGCATCTTCTCTTTTGCACGTAGATCGAAACTCCTCAGGGAGGTCTTTTTCATCACATGGAGAATAGCTGGCCATTGACACCACCATGCGAGGGTTACTGTGTTTGTTGGCATCCATAAGCTCCTTTAGTTTCTTCACAGACTCAAGGGAGAATTTCAAGTCTCCATCCTATGTAGACAGAAACAGAAAAAAAAAAAAAAGGCACCAGAAGTCAGTCCTTAGACAAATCAATTCCATTTCAGTCATGAGCTCTCTGAAAAACTATATTCCAGGGAAAAGAGAGTGTTGAAACAAAGCCTAGATAAAGTCAGTGCTGACTGAAGGCAGAATGATCAGTGCTTCCAAGCAAAGTGAGACCTGGCTGGCTTTTGTTATGAGTCAGAGCCAAAATTAGTGTTTCTCATTCCTATGAGAGACAACCATGAAATCTGGGGTCAGAAGATACAGGCTGGGAATCTTCATCCTAGAGAAGAGATGACGGGGTAATATGTGGTAAAGATTTACAAAATAATAAGTTGAATGGGGATGAGTGGGAATTTATTTTGTTCATTCTTTATTCTAATATAGCAATGGAGAAGTTCAAGTGTTGGCTGTCACATGGTGGGCTCTAACCACACAACAGGAGCCTTTCCTTCACACTACACACTGTTAAAAGCTGAAATTCCTGACCCAGAGGTACTGTGGAAAGTTTCCATGAATTTAAAATCTGTCTGCACAATTAGTGGAACACAAGTTATTGGCAGCATAACTCTGACACTTTTGACACAAAGCTCATACCAAAAGCTTCAGGAGGTCTAGAGAGTAGTCTGTGAAATATTACTCCATGTTTTAGATGGCTAGGCCCTGTGCATTTGTTAATGGTCATTAATTTTCAAATTAATCCCACTCTTGAGGTGTTGCAATTGTTGAGCTAGGTACATAAAGTCTGTGCATGTCCCCAGATAATTTGAGTTTGGCTTACAAGCATTCTCAAATTGATCTTTAGCATGTGTTTTGAGCTGCTATAATGACCAACATGTAGTCAGTAGGATGATCAAGTAACATTTACTCATGCAAAAAAAAAAAATGTAAAATAAGTCTGATTCAGCATGAGACCAAATATTGCCACTTGTTTCATAGTCTCATGAGACCAATGTTGAATAGCGTGAGTTTGGAGTAGGTAGTTGTTTCTCATTTATTGATTTTTTTTCCAGAATCACAGAATTTTGGTGTTAAAGAATTTTTAAAAACTTCAAACAGATAGACTCTGGACATGTATTTACTTAACAAAGTCAAACCTTTTTCTGCTTACTCAGATTAATTTATCAGTCATGGTTGCCTATATAAAAATAACTTTTCCAGTATAAATGTAGTTCTAGATTCAGCTATTGGTCACAAACCTCAAAAGCAAAAAACAGAGAACTAAAAAAGGATGGATTTCCACAGGTACAGTTTCAGAGAAACCAGAAAGTAGGAATGTAACCTGAGTTGTGTGCAAAAAAACAACACAGGAACAACAGAAGACCTCAAAGAAACATCCCCCCCACCCCCGATAAAAAAGATGTATTAAAGAGATCTCAGTCTGAGCAGCACCTTCGCTGCAAGGTGAAAGTGCACACTGTTTTGCTGAACTAAGAGACATTGTCACAGAAACAGTGCAGACCAGAACAAGCCATCTTCATAGCTTTTATTTCTACGCCACATCTAGTACCCCACCTTCCTCCAACTTCCATCATACGCATTCAAGATCTGTGATGGAAAGTCTTGAGATAGTGGCATCTTCAAAAACATGTTATAAAGTCAGATGAACTTCACTTCTGCTTTGCAAAATACTTTGTTAAATAAACAACTTCTGACATGTTACAGGGGAGGGAAGGGAAGTCTTGGGAAGAACTTCAGAAAAAAAGAGCATAAGACACATTTAAGCACTGAATAATTAGTCAGACCATAATTACCTCAAGTAGTCCAAGTGAAAGGCGTTCAATGCACATGCAGAGTACACTGCACACATATTTGGGAAAATACAGATCTAATGATTAATGGGATAAGAATTCAACTACAAAGAGGAGTTAAAACTCCAGTTTTACTTTCTATACTGTTACTCAACCTAGAAACATCTATTCTCATTTGGCTATTTTTTTATGCCTCCAAGTGGAAAGCTAAGAGTTTTTTCTTGAAATAGGAAGTTATTTGTTCCCCTGGAGACTCTAAATGTTAAAAAATGGTTTGGAAGAAAGGAACAGCTAGCTGAATCCTAGAATGGTTTGGAAGAGACCTTAAAGATAATCTAAGATCCAACCTCCTGCCATGAGCAGTGACACCTTCTACTAGATTGGGTTGCTCAAAGCCCCATCCAACCTGGCCTTGAACACTTCCAGGGAAAGGGAATTCACAACTTCTCTGGACAACCTAACCTACTACCCACCCAGTAAAGAATTTCATCCTTATATCTAATGTCTTTAAATCTACTCTCTTTCAGTCTGAAAACATTACCCCTCATTCTGTCCCTACATCCTCTGATGAAGAGTTCCTTCCCACCTTTCCTGTAGGTCTGCTTTCAGTAATTACTGGAAGGCCAATATAAGATCTCTCCGGAGCCTTTTCTTCTCCAGGCTAAACAGCCCCAGGTCTCTCAGCTTGCCCCCACGGGGGAGGTCCATCATGGGGGTGGTCTTCTTTGTGACCATCCTCTGGACCCACTTTAAGCAGTCCATGCCTTTCTTTCGCTGGAGCCCCAGTGCTGAACCCCAGCTATCTCTAAATATCTAAGGCATCCAAGGAAGAAAAAGAGAATATTTCAAGTCACAAAGATAGCGCCTTATCTCTGGAAACCGACTGCGCACATATGAAGAGAGTAAATAATTGTTTAAGAAGTTTTGCTGGTATGCTGAGGAAGTCATGCCACAATCAAACAGAAATTTCCTGAACTGTTTCTAAGGATGAGTGCAGGTATATCCAACACACTCCAAAATACAGATAAGAGAACTAAAGTACCTGCTAAACTGTTTCCATGTTGCACAAAATATTCATCACATGTTGTATCTTCTAGCAAATTTCTTATAGCCTCCTCTTATCTGCCTATTAGTATTTCATTGGATCCAGATAAACATTTCTTTCACCTTTTTTAAAATACATGTGATGTGTGTAGGCTCAGTAACATAAGCTTGCAGATCATTTTCATGAAGAACCTCCTGCCTACAAGCAGGTGAGACAAGACAGTGTCTCTTTTGTCACGTCTTGTTTACACCATTCTAAAAAGTTAGAGGTGTCCCCAGTTCTTCCAGCTTCACAACATATCTGCAGCTTCATGTTAGTAATACCTGAAGCATTTTACATAAAGAAAAGCTGGAAGATGAAGTTGGATATCAAGCCAGAGCAAAGAGCAAAGCAAGAATTTGGGTCTGTTAGTTTAGGTCAAGAGGCCTGTTGCAGCTACACTTCACATAGTATCAGCAGTTTGTTGAACTTGTATTACCAACAAATTAAAGATCAGAAAACTCACCTGAACATAGACTGCCTGGGAGCTGTGCACCAGTAAATGGACTGCAAGGACTGCAAAGGAAAGAAAGCCTTTCATAGTGCCTGCAAAGTACAGCCTTTCCTAACCTGAATATATATTATTTTCTCCCACTTTGGTCTCTCTCTCTTTGTTTTGTTTGTCTCAGTCTTCCTTCTTCTCAGTCAGGGCTCTATGCTTCCAGTGCAAAGCTGGAGCTTTATAAAGGCTTCACACAGCTTTCGCCTGGTAATCCATTAATCTAAACATTTTATTGACATATAATAAACCCACAGTGGACTATCAGTTATCTACTCGTTAGCAGAGTAGGTCAGTCACACCCAGACATTTATGAGTCTCTCTCACTTTGAGAAACTGGCCATGACACAGGTAGGCAAAACATTGCAGCCCATAATAAAGAAATGGTACAGACTGATCTAACGCAACACCTGAGATTCACTCTGCATATGAGGAATGTACTCAGGTTTCTGGCCAATTCGGGCAGAGCTGATGGAAAGAACATTATTTGGAAGGAGAAACAAAAAAAAACAAACAAAAAACAAACCCTGATTGCTGGCCAGTCAGTTCCTTTTTCTGGGGACTCCAAGTGCTAAGATGGCAATAGTGGACCAAGGCAGATAAACACAGGCTGTGCCTGCATATGGCCAGATATAAAATGTCATCTTCCTGCTGCTTTTGCAGCACCTAATTAAAATGCACAACAGGTCTGCAAGGTCTTTGTCTGGAACATGACCAATGGCCCCTTCAGCAGGGACAGGGCTTGATGCAAAGCCCTTCAAAGACCCAAGACAATCACACCCTTCCTTAAGTCCTGCCATGCTCAGCTCTGGAGCCCAGCTTTGCCTTAGTGCCACAGCAAAATAACACCAAATCACCCCAAGAATTGTGAGGGAGGGAGCTGCAGGTCAGGCAGAGACCCTCTTCCCCTTGTCTGGCTGCACATTGCGCAGCTGCAAGATCAGGAAGGGGGGAAAAAGATAAAAAGGAAAAAAAAAATCACTGCACCAATTACAAAGTGCCTGAGAACTTCACCTCTATGAACAGGCTGACAAGGGCAGTGGTGCAGTCACCATCCCTAGAGATATTTAAAAGATGTGCAGATGTGGTGCTGAGGGACACGGTTTAGTGGTGGGCTTGGTAGAATTAGGTTAATGGTTGGACTCGATGATTTTAAATGTCTTTTCCAACCAAAACAATTCTATGATTTTATGGCTGATGTGATACCCCAGTGGAAGGAAAAATAATGAAAAAGACAATCAGTGGATTATAGATGCACTGGAAGAGTCCAAAGCAGTATCTCATTGGCTCACTGCTGTGTGCAGGCACAACTATGGATACAATCAGCAGTGGCAGCAATAGCAGAAGGTGAGAAGGCATTTTACCTGCCAAGATCCGAAAAGGAACTGGCTAATGCAGCTAAATTCAAAAGAGAGTTTCAATCATGGTGGTATTTAGTTAATTTCAACTTACAACCTGGAAACATAATGGGAAAGGATGTATTCATATGAGAACTCTTAGTAATTTCTTAACCATAGATTTTACTGCTGTGGACACAAATAACCACACAAACATTTCTGTTTGTAATTTTACTCACCCAGTAGGCTGCAATTTTGATTATTCAGCTTCTCCTACTTCCTGACTACTACTACAGTCCAATTACATCAAATAAGGATTTGTCACCTACTGCCATTGGAATGAATCTTGCACTGGTAGGAAAGCTGTTACACCATGATGACCTAAATCAGCTACTAGAGAATATCCAGAATAGTGGAGAAAAAGCCCTGATGACTGTATGTCTTGATGCAGAAGAAATACAATGTGTTCTGGAGAGAACAAAGAAAGATGAAGATTACCATTGGTAGGGTATTTTCAATGTGTGGTCACCAACAGCCACAGGAATCTTCAACCTCATGCTTCATCCCATAACAGTCTTGTTGGGTTTGATCTTGTTACAACTACCACTCACAAGAATATTATATATGAATATGTGAGCAATGAGTAGGAGATTCAAGAGATTCCGAGTTCTGTTTAATATACTAGCAGATATGCTACACAAAACAAAACGGGGACTGCTGGGGACTAAATAATTTACTTGTAGGTGTAAAGTTAATTTAATAATTGCTTAACGTTAAGTTGAATTGAAACTTTTGCTTTGATTAGCATGAGAAACTTGCTGAGCATGAGACGTTGGATTTTTCTGAAGCTGCTTCTGCTGGGAACTTCTGCTGAGATCACATACAGGGAGGCTTTGAGACCCTGCATTCTGTGAAACATGAGGGAGCCTATTTTCAGCAGAAGCTGCATCCTTGAGATAAGAAAAAGAAGCAGCAGCCTGGAGACAGAGAAAGGATTCACTGACAAGCAAGAAGAGCCCAGACCCAAGCTTTGATTCAGGTGCAGGCTGTCTTTCAATGGTGATGAAGCAGTCTCCTTCTGGCAGGTCCTCAGGTGAAGAAGGTAGTGTGCTGTGAATCTCAGGTTGGGTATTTCACTGGATGCCACAGGATTGTTTAACCAGAACGAGAGAACTTAGAACTTAATAGTATATCTGTAATACACTTATCTCATGCAACTATTTACAATCACTGTACATGTTTCACTTGCAATCACTGTACATTACATCCTTTATCTACAATTACTGTACATCATTTGTTCTATTTACAA